GCTAAATTTCTGTTTCCCTGTGGTGTTAACAAGACTAAACAAAATTTATGTTTCGAGATAAAACAGAACCCGTGCCTCTGTCTTATGAACATACCGACTGAGAGCATGGAGTACGGACAGCACGCAGGCTCTGAAACCAAAGACTTGGATAGGCCTACGAGCTTCTCGGGCCTTGCAGCTGTGTGGCCTGGAGCCAGTTACTTGGCCTCTCTGAGCCTTAGTTTTCTTCAGCTGTACCTACAGGACTGCTCTGAGAATTAGAGTCTACGCAAAGCCCCTGGCCAGGGTGGGTCTTCAACAACCAGCAGGCACTGCCGTTGTTCTTTAACCAAATCTGCATCCATTTTGGCTGAATGCTGCTGCACCCAACTTGTCATGGTCCTGAGTCTTGGGAACCACTTTACACCAACCAGCGCGGGAGGAGAATCTGTTTCTTTGTTTCATGGGAGAAGGGAAAAAGAGCGAACGCAGCCAGGGGTTGGCCTGCCCCTGCATCCTGGGGTCAAAGGGGTGTTTACTAAAACGATTTGCTTTCACCTCCCTAGAGTGGCCCCGTAGAAAAAGTCCCTCCAGGGACGACAGATGCCCAAGGGGCCCTATTTCCGCAATATATTCCTGCATGGTCTGGCCAAGTTGCCCCCATCCCCCCTGCAAAAGGCAGGTTCCCGCGCAGCCCCCACAGCAGGAGTGAAGGAGAACCATTAAAGAAGCGGGGGTGCCTGTCACACTTCTCCGTAACCCCTGACGTGATGTGAAATTCTACAAGGTAGACCCTTTGAAATGCAAAATCTTCCTGAGTCCTTCAAATGTGTTTTTATTTTCTCGGGTTCCTAAGGCTGCTTTTCAGACCCACCCATCAGCATTTCCCCTCTCAATCAACCCACATTTAACAAAAAAAGAAGAGGAAAGAGAAGGAGGCGGCGGCGGCGGTGGCGGCTGCAGCAAAGACGTCTCTGTTTTTTGAAAAAGCTCAAGTATCTCCAGTCGCTACAAGGGTAAAAAAAACCTTGTCCTCCGCTCCAGCCTCCTTGCATCCCCTCCTCCAAGACACCCTGAAGCCAAGTTTCCGCTGGAAGATTCCCTCCCATCCCAACCCGCAAGGCGCTCACTAACTCTGCCGCTGCTCAGGGTCTCCAAGAACTTTCTTGGGACAAGAATCCAGTGCCCTCTGACCCCAAGTTCGGGAAGGTTAAGAGAGGCACCGCCGAAACCACAACCCACAATTTTCAAGGCCCCAACCTTGATCCAAAATTGTGCGCACAGGAGGTTTGGATTAAACATCAAAGAAGACGTTACCTTAACGCAAAGTTGTTTGGCAAAGAAAATTACTTCACCCTAAGAAGAACCCTAGGGGACGCTAAATTGCTTTTGAATATAGACTTTTCAGTGGCGCAGTCATTAATCATATTAATGTAAACTGCGCTAAAACAAAACTTTTCTAAGCAAGTCTCTGGGCACATCAGCATATCTAAGCCTCTGGGTTTGTATCCAAAGTTCACATCCCGGCACGCCATGAAACGGCTGCTGATGGGGTCAGCTATTACAGTGCAGTCCCCGACCTTGGGCCGTAATAAAGGTGACTCAGCCGTGCAGAAAGAACCCTCATAAACTTAGGCAGGAAACACACACACACACACACAGAAATTAATTGGACAAGGAGAGTCAATGATTTTGGAAAGTGTATTCATTGGGCAAGTTTAAACAGCCACTCGCCCTCGATGATCAGATGTTGCACAAAGCAGTTGAGGGAGAACAGTCAACATTCCTCCCAGCACCCAAGTCCCGTGGCCAGGCCCTGCTTTGTGGGGTGGAGGCCAGGGCAGCAGCTGGACAAGGCGCGGAGAGTGGAGCCCAGTGGAGTTAAACTGCGCTGAGCCCCGCCAGACCCGGCCATGTGCTTGGTGTTGGCAACAAACCGGTTCTTTCAAGAGAGGAAGAGTCTGACAAAAAGGACAGCTGCAGCAAAGCGAGAAGCCAAGAGACAAAAACCTCGAAAAAGCCCTGGGTTTGGGATTCTCCCCTCCAGTTAAAAAAAAAAAAGTCACCTTCAGGGTTTTCAAGGGCTAATATATTAATGTGTCCCCCTTGCTGGATCAATTAAAGAGAGCCCCTCCACATCTGGTTTCCATCTAAGGCTGAGGCCTGTATTATCAGCATATTACATAACAAATGATGCCCGCAGGTTTCTTTTATTGCACATGAGAGAGGTGTGTGTGGTGGTGGTAATGATGGGGGTTGTGCTAATCTGAGTATTTGCTTATTTCAGCCTCTTTTTTTTTTTTTTACGGACAAGAACAAAAAGTTTTCCATGCAGTATGCAATTCAAAAAAGTCACACTGCCCAGATAAAACATCAGTGAACAACCTGACAGTAGGTCCCGCAGCCAGTCTTCAAAGCCCACAGCATCCAGCAGTGGGTGAGAGAAGGGCGTGCTTTTTCAAAGAGCAATGCAAAGATAAGCCAAATTGCTCCGAGGCGCCCCCTGCTGCCAGCTCCCAGACTTTACACAAGGCTCCCTCCTCTCCAGCCTCCTGCAGGGGAAGAGAACTGGCTGGACTTTTCTGTGCTTGGATCATTCATCAGGGGCCTGCTCCCTGAGCCCACTTAAGGACACCCAGCCCACTAGGCTGCCACAGAACTGGGGAGATGGAAAGGCCAGGGGATAGTAATAGAAGCAATAGGCGATAGAGAAAGACTAGAAGGTGTGGACAGAAAGAGCCTAAGAAATAATAACAGGGCTGCCCATAAAATATCAATTAAGTGTAGCCACCATGATGACAATACGGTATCCCCAAAAGAACTCTATGAACTTCCAACATGCTACTTCCATGTGCTATCTCCTAAGTTGAAAACAGAAGGGAGAAGTGACTAAAAACGTTATGTATCAAAACAGTGGGACACTCTATTTGTCCTGCCAGCCTTAGAACATTCAAGTCCACTTCCGCAGCAATGGTACTGCTAGCTTTTATTTACATCGTGTCTTCCATGTTAAAATGACTGTGCATCAATATCACATTCTCGGGGGAAAATAAGAAGTCCTTGGCAAAATTATCTGAAACAATCTTAACATCACCTTGTTCTTTGGATGGAGCATTTGGGAGAAAAACACAGACCTGCCCCAAGCCTCCTTCATTTTCTAGACTGGAGCAGTGCCCTGCTCCTAGGTCTGCAGGATGACTGGCAGCATCCAGACCCTAGCCAAGCGCAGGGTCAAGGGCTAATACTCCTGAACTTAAGACCCAAACCTTCTCCCACTAACATGGGCTTATCAACTGGGATAAGTAGCTATTTTCTGTGTACCTAGTTGTCTACAGCTAAGGGGAGGAAAAAAACCCTACAGATCTGTAATTCAGTATCAAAACTGTAGCTGAGATAAAGTTACTGCTAAGTAGAAACATTAAAATGAAACCAAAACCTGGCCAAGTCAGAACAGTCAATTTCATGCAGTCTGCTAACTCCATTCCTTCCCGAGTCCTCAAACCAAGTGGCATCTTTTAACCCGGAGTCCAGGATCTGGAGCAAAGAGGGATCCCCCTCCCTGCCGGTGGGAACTGCTGGGAACACATATGCTAGTGTGTCATTTGGAAGTCTGCTAATATGTTGTAAGCAGCACAAGACGCTTGCCTGGCTTCCCAGGCCAATAAACAATGCCATTCCAACTCCTGCAGCAGTCAATAGAAAACAGTCCCTGGTATCCACCATCCAACAATTCAACAAACATTTGTTCCTGTTGAACAACCAACCATCAGCCTGGTTCCATCTGCACCCGCTCGGGCAAGGCGAGCCCGGTGGTGGCGGCGGCGGTGACGACGGCACGAATGCCCTGCGCAGGGTCCCGGCCCCGAATGTAGCCGGGGGCCACTTGCCCACCACCACCGAGTCCAGAGACTGTAACGTCTGGAAGACTCGGAGTGTGGCCTATAGGAGGCAGAATCCCATTCATCAAATGCTGCAAAGAGCTGTTCTTTGTTCACCATCGTTCGAAGTACAGTACGTGTTAATGAACCCGGGCGGTCAGATGGAGGGAGCCCGGCTTCAGGGGGCGTCCGGGGGCGAGGGACCCTAGCAAGGCGGCTCGCGCAACTCACCGATGCTCCGCTGCCCGGTCCCCGCGCCACAAGCATTGTTCCCAAAGTCAGCGGGCGGGGGGTGGGGAGCTGGGGGGGGTGCCCAAGAAGCCACTTGGGGCAACGCACACCGAGGGCCCTCCCCACACTCTGGGTCACCTCGCGTCCTCCGTCCCCGCCCCACCAAGTGAAACCCCGAGAGAGGAAGAGGACTCCCACGGGTCTGCAAATCAAGGACTGGCAAAAACGTGACTCGACCCGTGTGCCCGTGCCGGACGGCCCTTCTCGCCATGTGCAAAAGCCACGGCGGCGCCGGCTCCCCCCACTCCGCGAGCCCCCACCGCGGCCGCCCTGCGGGCTTCGCCCGTTCGGGACGGAACGGCCCTCACCCGCAACGTGACCGCCCCGGCCGGTCCAGCAGCCGCGGAGCCCGCCGCTGCGCGTCCGCATCCCGGGGGTGGCAGACGCAAACTTCCGCGAACAAAAGAGTTGTCTGCAAACGATGCGGGAACTTCGGGACGAGGGGGGCCGCCCGGGTCCAGGGGCTCGGCGCCTTCGCCGCTGCCGCGAGCCAGGGCGCAAGTTGAGGCGCGTAGAGGGGGACACCCCCCGGCGCAGCCGTCCCCGCGCCCGCCCCGGGAAGCGCAGACTTCTCCGCAGGGGCCAGGCTGGCCCGTGCCCCCGGCTGCGCTCTGACAAGTCTCATGCCTGCACCAGGGGCGACGCTGAGCACCCCGAGAAGCCACCCGACCCGACGCGGAACAAGGCGGAAAAAGAGGAAACCCGCAACGTAAAAAAATAAAAATAAAAAGAGGCGCAAGCCCAGCACACACGCGACAGGGCTCCCTCCTGCCCGCGGCCGGGGCGCACAGGGCAGGGACCGCCGCTCGGACCAGCCCCCCGGCCGCCGCCGCCCGGCCCGGGGTCGCTTACTCTGCGCGGCGGGGCGATCCGGGCGCGGGCTCCGCGCCGTCGCCGCCGGCGCTCGCCGAGTCGTCCGGGCTGCCCGCCGCGCGTCCGCCGCGCGCACGCTCCGCCGCCGGCGCCGAGCGCTTTGTACCGAGCGGCTCCCGGGGAGGAGGAAATCGACTTGTCACTTCCTGAACTGTGTGCAACT